AGCGTTTCCGTGTGCTGCGCTGGTGCTGGCTCGCCAGATGCAGCTTGTCACGCTGGCCACGTGACCCGGAAGTGTCTCCGGACAGCGCTGGGCCCCGGCCTCTAGAGTGAGATGGGCGCACAACCCTAGAGTCGGACACAGCTGGCCGTACAGGGCAGGGGTACCTTTACCTTTACTAAAGGTGTATAGTGAAGGCGGCCAGGCAAACTTTTCCTAGGGAGAACATTCCACAGATGGGGAACCACTGCAGGGAAGGCCTGTTCTCATGTTGCCACCTTCCGGACCTCTTGAGCAGGAAGCACACAAAAGAAGGGCCTCAGAAAATGATTTTTAACTATGTTTTATGATGTTTTCACGTGCACCTACAGAATTCACCGCTGGCATGTTTTCAGTCAAGTTTTCCCTTGATGTTCTTCTAGTGCACACACAATTCCTATAAATATTTGAGTTGCCTCACACTTGTGAAATGTATGCATGTATTTATTTTACAATGTGTATTTTTTTTGGGGGGGGTGCTGCAGATGGCTTCAGTTCTCTGCTGCTTTGCACAGCTGGTCAGTGTCTGTTTCCAAAATAGTAATAGTGTTGTTACTCTGCAGAACTTTGGTCCTATGGTGAAAATCTAATTGCGCTTGAAAGTAGCTATGTGTGTTCTTGGTGTAGCAAGAAGCATGTTACATGGAATTATATCTTGAAAGCAGCACCTGGAAGGCAGATGTGCGGGGGGGGGGTTATCTAGAATTTTAAGATGTTAAAGACTAGCATTTATTCAAGTGTATTATGCAAACAAAAAAGCTGGTGTAAAAACTCGGTGCCAGTTTATTTTCACTTGCAACAGGGCAGTAAAAACTGAAAATCTGGGTGTATCTGAGAAAATAAATCAGTGTTGTTGGCAACTGAATGAAAGTAATTTTCAAAAGGTTCTAAGTTGGAATGTTAAAGAGAAGAAAATATTTTCCCCAGTATACCGTATATATTTTTTTCAAAGATCCATCATGGCACCTAGGCTGCCTTTGAAGACAGCCTTGACATAGTACCCCCATGGTGCACTGCCCACTATGCTGATCCCAATTGCAGCCTTCACTTCATTTACCTATCAATAGGCAGCCATTTTTATTTCCCATAATACTTCCTGATGTAGCACTCCTCCAGGGCAATGTGGGAAATTAAAATGAGTGCAGGCTGCTCCTGCCAATAGAGAAGCCTGCATACCAAATGCTGATGCTATGTCTTCTTGGTCACCTAATGGCAATAGTGGGTTTTGTTTTAAACATACAATAAATGATTATTTTCTTTAAAAAAAGTTCCTTGCCTTTCAGTCAGGTTGCTATTTGCCTTGAAACATTTGTTTTCTTGAATTGTTTTGTGGCAAGTCATAATCTTTGAAACATTCACATGAAGGCGTGGTAAGCACTGAATTCAATTGGTAATAAGTGCTACTAAGGGTTCATTTAAACAACAGAGAGAGGGAAGAAACCAGGGCAGCTATGTCTGTTTAGCATATATGAATGCATTTCTGCTACAGGGCCTGAAATAAACGGAAACATGAGCAGTAACCAGAACTAAAAGAGTAAGTCTTTGGAAACAGTTCTCCGGTCCAACATATGTTAAAGATATTGAGACGCAGGAAGATTCTGTTTTTAAAAAAGGACATTGCAAGACAGTAATGGGAGCAGGGCTGGCCCAAGACATTTTGGCACCTGAGGCAAAGCACAGAATGCTGCCTCCCTCCCTGCCAGGGAAGAAGGGTAAGTGAAGATCTACATTAGGAACCAGAGTAGGAATAAATATCTACATCCGAATCTGCTGCCCCTGAGGATCCTGCCACCCAAAGCAGTCGCCTCACCTTGCCTCCGGGGTGGGCCGGCCCTCATTGGGAGTGACGAAGACTAGTTTGGGCATGGTTTCAGCAAGAATTTTTTTATTTAGATGTGAAGAGGCTATGAATTTATGCTTTAGCAACATACACTGCAGATGATGAAGTTTTGAAAGTTGCCAATTGGCAGCTGATGAAGGCAAAAATACAAGTGGTACCTTGACTGCATCGTGTGGATCTCTAAGATTAAAGTTGGTGACTGTTTTCATTTGCTAAGCTGTGCTACTGGAGATGGGGGTGGAATTGGATGTGGCAGAGGTTTTCCTGGTTTATGCCAGGGGCAAGGTCATTGGGGGAGCTGTTGGCAAGGTAACAGCAGCAGTATTTCTGGTGCTGGTAGCCAGGGAAAGGGTCCGAATGGGACAGATTGTGGTCAGGGAAGGAGTGAAGTAGGTCAGCCAAAGATCCGCTGGGTCATAACCTGGGCTAGCAGCTGAGGAGGAGCCCAGTGTTGACTACTCTGTTGTACCAGCTTGGAGCTAGCACAAGAAAAATAAAGACAAATACCCCCTCTTTTCTGTCCTGGCTTGCAGGTGGGGAGCCTATGTCAATCCATTCCTGTCCAACGAATCCTTGGTTAGGAGTTAGGATTGCTTTATAGAATCAAGTTGGCTGCACTGTTAAAAACTGGGAAGTCTAACTTGCAAATTATTGCCTTATGTATTGTGGAAAATTTTCTGCCATGAACGTGATAGGTTTCATTTAATTTCTGTTGCCAGTGTGGCTACCATATTAAGGTGAATGGATTAAAACTGCTATCAAATCAGAGTATTTCCCCTTAACCTAACTGCATTGCCCTCTTGAATCTTTTCTTATAATATATATCCCCGTAAGTGAAAGACAGCAGTCAGCTAGTGCAGTTTAATAAGGAAAAGTGCCACTGTTCAAGTATGCGTGGAAGCTACACTTCAGTGCCAGGAGTTAGGGGTGGTTGAAGCATGAAGTTTTAATTAATTCATACATGAAATAGCCTTTTAGATAATGATGTACGGATTGAAATTGAGCTCCACAACAGATTTCACACTTCTCCAAATGTCAGAACACAGTTCTCGGCCAATTTAAAGCATATCAAAATATAGATTTACATATGACTTTGAGAAAAAATATATATTTAGATACGTAATTAAAATAACCTTTTCAGAGTTGTCATTTTTTTAATTTGCGGACTGGTGCAGAAAGGAAACAGAACAGAACTCTTGGTTAAAAGCATGTGAGAGTGGCATGGGGTGTAAACAGAATCCTCACTTGATTCCTCTGCCTCCAGTTCCAGTGACACAATGATGTAGGAGACTTACAATTTCAAGGTTCTGTTACTAGCAGTTGGGAACAAATTCATAAGCCCAATCATCAGTAAGCCCCAAGTCCTAAAGCATTTTTTTATACAGTGGACACTGGGGTTGCGAATGTGATCCGTGCGGGAGGCACGTTTGCAACCCGCAGTGTTCGCAACCCGCAGCACTGTGCCTGCGCACCGCGCGGGTTGCGACTCGGCGTTTCTGCGCATGCGAAAGTACGGTTTTAGTGCTTCTGTGCATGCGCAAGCACCAAATCCCGGAAGTAAACCTGTTCCGGTACTTCCGGGTTTTGACACGTCCTTAACCCGAAAACACGCAACCTGAAGTGTCTGTACCCCGAGGTATGATTGTACTTACTTTGTATCCCTGCAGAATGGGACTTCTGGAAAAAACACTTGCAAGAAGGAGGATGCAAATGTGTTAATAGCTCCACCCTCATGCCCTCCCGCTAAAGTCCTAGAAGTGATACCAGACTCCAGAGCAAAGCCCTACCTCAAACCAAGCACTGCCCAGGGCAGGCATGTCCAAAGTCCATTTCAGGGGGCCTAATCCAGCCACTGCGGCGGTTTATTTCCTGGGGTAAAATCCTAAAGAAACCTCAACAACTTCAATCCTAAAACCTAAAAAAAGTCAACAACTTTGGTCGGCCCTCACGGCCCTTCATTTCATCAAATCTAGCCCTCTTTGAAAAAGTTTGGACACCACTGGCCTAGGGCAAGGTGAGGGAATCTAGCCTTCCAGAGGATTCTGGACTACAACTCCTATCATTCCTGACCGTTGGCCATGTTGGCTGGGGGCTGACAGGATGTGAAGTTCAGCAACATCTGGAGGGCCACAGGTTCCCCATCCCTAGTTGATGGGGATGGGTGTGTGTGTCATGCACTTTTCTGAAAAGCTGGTTTATGATTATATGCTAGATTTTCTGGGGCCATCTTCCAACATTTTCATACCATAAGCCATGATGAACTGAAAGTATTAACTTGTGAGAATTTTCCACAAGGTAATGAATGGCAACGCAGTGGCACATGCAAGCATGTCTTCTACACAACTGCTGTTACTTTAACAGTCCTATATGAACTACTGCTAGCGATAGTTCCAGTTACAGATAGGTAGCCGTGTTGGTCTGCCATAGTCAAAACAAAAAAAATTCCTTCCAGTAGCACCTTAAAGACCAACTCATACCAAGAACTAACTTAGTTGGTCTTTAAGGTGCTACTGGAAGGAATTTTTTTTGTTACTGCTAGCGAGCCATGGTGCTGGAATGGTTGCCTGCCTAACAGAAGAACATCTTGAGACGCCAGCAGCGCTGCAGCTAGGGATGCAATTTGAGGCCAAAGCCTGTGGCCCTGTAGCACTCCCAAATGACCACCCAGAGAGTGGCAGCAACAAACAGATCCTACATCAGCCCCTTGGCTGGAACAGACATGCCTCCAGTCACCACAGCACCCTTTCTTTATTTTGTTTTTAATTCTAGTCAGTGGGAGGCAGGAATGTTCATGCCTGCAGGTGCTCGTTTTATTATTTTAAACTTACAAAATATATTATCCCATAAGCAGTGCTCATTCCCAAATAAATGGGAGGAATTCAATCTTGTGCTTAAGGGAATTGTTCCACCAGGGCAAGCATTTTGGCTTGACAGACAGAACAATCACTCCTCTATTCCCCCTGCGTACAGTTCTACAGGTTCTTCTGACACACCCTCTAATTTCAGGGGTTGTTTGTTTGTTGTGGGGCAGGGGATGCCCCATTGTATAAGCAGCTGTGAATGCTGATTAAAGTATAAGCTGAACATCCCAGCTCAAAATTCCACACGGAAATTGAATGAGGGCTTACCTATTGAAGCTCCTGACGTCAAAACTATTCACTTTTCTGGGAGGTTCAGGCAACCGGGTCTCATGGTCTATCTGGTAGTCCTCGCTGCTAAGGAACTCCCGCCAGGGGGACTGGTAGCCTTTGGGGATGGCTGTCCTGTTGAACTTCTCTGGTGGTACACCACTTAGAGGTCCAGAATAGCCTGTGGTTCAGAATGTCACATTCAATGAAAACATCTTAAGTATGATGGCAGAGAAACCTGAAGTATCTGATTTCAGAGGTCTTGTTCCTAGCAGAAACTAGAACAGATGTGAAAGAGCAGGGCTGTTTCCAGATTTGGGAGGTATTCGACAATATGGCCCTCCTGTACTTAGTAGAGGATCTCCATGGCATCTAGAAGGCTCCAAGTAGAACTAGGAGAAATCTCTGCCTGAAACCTTGAAGGGCTGCTAGTAGTGGCTCAGTAGAAGGTCGCTTCTCTTTGCCTTGGCAAGTCCTGTCCTGCTTTTTGTAGATGTGCAGTTCACACACACACAAGAAAGCAGCACTGGCTCCCTCCCCAATCATTTTGACAAGCAGGGTCGCTGCATCAAAGGCCAGTTGCCATCCTTAGAAGCTCCCTCTTCCTTCCCCTGCCTTTCTGTATTTAATGAAGGACACCAGCTTGTCTCTGATTCAGCTGTCCTCTGCATCAGTCTGCTTAGAGGGAACGGGTATTGAGATGTCTCGTCAGACGTCTCAAGGAACGTTGCTGGTGAAGTGAAGTTCCCGAAACTACAACTAACCTGGAAGTTGTGAACTAAATCTTGACTCCACCCACGGTCAGGTACAAATGGCACCTGCTGATGCTGAGGGAGATTAAAAACAAAACAAAACTATAGCAGTGTCAAGGGCTCCAGGGAATGTTTGAAATAGCACTGGAGTGGGGCTTAATCTGACAGCAACTAGGATCCTTCCAACGACTGCTGTTACCATTATTTGGACATTTATTGGCATTAATGAAATTTAGGAAGCTGCTGTGGTCCACCTAGCTCAGTATTGTCCCCACAGGCTCTCCAGGGGTTCATACAGGGATTTTTTCCCAGCCTGTTTCCAAATTCTGGGATTCAACCTGGGACCTCAAAGCAGTTGCTCTACCAGACTTTTAGAAGACATCTGAAGGCAGCCCTGTTTAGGGAATCTTTTAATGTTTGATGCACTAGTGTATTTTAATATTTTGTTGGAAGCTGCCCAGAGTGGCTGGGGAAACCCAGCCAGATGGGCGGGGTATAAATAATAAATTGTTGTTGTTGTCATCATCATTAAACTGCCCACTTGCACTCTTGCTTTTGTGCTGAATAAGAGTTCTGGTCCCAGTGGTGCTGTGCCTGGATCATACCTGGAGCGATGGCATTGGGATTCAGGGCTTTGCTCATCCGCAAGACTTTGTTTGTTTTCTTTGGCACTTTGGGAGGTGTTGCCTTTCCTGAGGCTGCTTCGTGAAGTCCAGCCTGGTAGTTCTCCTTCCCTTCAGCATTATGGATAGACTAGCAGACAAAGGGAAACAGGCATAGGCTGCAAGATGTTTTCTGTCATCAGAAAGGTCTCCTCAGCATGCTTTCAAGACTGAGGTAGGCATGGAAATTCAGACAGAAGCAGAATGATAAAAGGGGGAATGGAAGAAGGCCAGCCAGGCCCCTGGTTGGATGAGCTTTTTTTATTCACCATTGAGGAAAATAATTTTGCTTGAAGCAAACAGAACATATCTCCCAGCTGCTTCTGTGAATGGACCACAGTCCAAAACTGCCTGAATGCTTTCCAGTGCTTCCACCTCCTGCTACTCAAGTGCCATGTATTCTACAATGGGATTGTTAGAAACAAGCATATCCACACTAAAGCCTTATATTGGTTTCAGAGTACAGAGCTTCCCTCAAAGACTCTTGGTGGGCTGAGGCTTCTTGTTAGAAAGCCCTATCCTACCCCTCACAGAACTACATTTCTCAGAATTCCTTGGGAAGAGGCAATGATAATTATACCAGTTGGTCTGTAGTGTAGGTTCCCTCTCTCAGAAGAAAGGTACCAACGAATTTCACTTTTCAAGCTGCGCAAGGCGTTGAAACCTGATCAGCAAGCACTGAGAGCTAAGCTTCCATCACATGCTACATAAATGACAGGACATGCAGATCAGGTACATATTTGGGTGTATGCATGAAGACAGTTACACTGCCCCCACTGAAATATTAACTTGGAATAGTCAGCGAGTCTGCTCCCTATCGAGGAAATGGGTGACTATGGGAAAGAAGTCCAAATGACATAGCTTCAGGGTGAATCTGCCTCAGTGTGTCACTTTTTGGCTTCTCCAGGTCTCATGATGGACCCTAAACTCTAGCCTAAGCAAGTGAGATCTTCCCCATGCAGCAGTCATGCAGACTACCTGTCCTTCTGACATGCCAACTCCATCGTAATCAGCGTGTGAGCCTCCTCCTCCTCCAGAAACATTTGAGATCTTGCAAAGAGAGCAAGGAAAGGAATATTAATACATGACATGGGCAAGGGCCATGGATAAGCCCTAAGACTGAGAGAATGCAGACACTAGTAGGTTAAAGCTAAATATGGCCTCCTGTTAGAATTGGCAGTCCTGCAGCTTATTCTGCAGTGGTTCATAATTTTGCCATTGCATTGTATGCCCATTCCCATAGCAAATATGGTGGCCTCAGTTGTGAACCTATTTTTAGAAGATGGGGGGTGGGGGGGTGGAGGAGAGAAGTGGTTTGTCAAATGCATACTATATGAAAGAGTAATTAATAATCACGAGCCAGGTGATTTAACTTAAAAAGACTACTAGAGAATATATGTGTAGACTCATATATGTGTAGGTTAAATGCTGGGATGACTAGATTTGCTCCAGCTACTTACAGACAGAGGTGTTAACAGTTAAATTGCTTTAGGAATGAGTTAAAGAAAAGCCGTCAAAGACATTTACTGTCAAAGGTATTTATTTGGCCTTAATGTAGCAGCTATATAAATGAAGAAGATCACAGGCTCACCACCCAACTGACGGTGCCTGTATAATTAGAAAATGGGGGCTTTTTCCAATGTGAATGCATTCAGCTCTAAGTCTCTGATACTGACTTTTGCTGAGCAAAAGAGACTGCAAAGCATGGCACCGACTCCTCGAGCAGGGGTAGATAAGTCCCTGTTCAGGGGCCTGATCTCTTAAACACTTAGTTTGGGCAGTGGCAGCAGCAGCAAAATGAGGGGGGTGAAAGGGAGAGAGAGAAATACACAATGCTGTTGGGGGCACAGCCCTATGATCTAGCAGGGGTGTAAATTGTCCCCTCCCTGGACATCAGATCCATCATTTGGTGAGCAGGCAGGGAGCAATAAAGCCCCTCTCCTCAGTTGATCCACAACTGAGAAAGTGAGGAGGGAACTGTGTACCTGCCTGCCTCTATTATATGTATGTGCTGTGTGCGTGCGTATGTGCCTGTGAGAGAACGACACGCCAGGACATGTGATCCTTGGAGGATTGACCAAGGGTGACTGTGGCCCTCTGGCCCAAATAAGTCAGGCACCCTTTTTCTGGAAGATTCATGTCACAGCACAACAGCTGGTGCAATAAGCTTACAACTGGGTTGCATCCAATGCTGGTCCTACTCAGAGTAAACCCACTGACGTCAATAGACATGACTATCTAAGTTTCATCAATTCCAATGGAACTGCTGTGAGCAGCATGCAGTTGCATACAGCCCACTAATTCATTTTATTAGCCCATCGAATAGCATCTGAACAGAGATAAGTCAGTAATTGTTTAGACCAGGAGTGGTATTGCTGGCCAAGGAGAGGGTCAGAGGTGCCTGCCTGCCTGCCTGCAAGATGATCTTGTCCATGCACTGAGTGCATGACCACCATGCCAAATCTTGCATGCCTTGTGAAGCTCAAAGGACAGAGGATGATCTGAGAGCAGAAGTGGCTTGACATCTTGTTCTGTCTGTCATCAGTAGGAGCAGACATGCCTTGGCATCTGTTCTCAAGGCACCCTCTAATAGCTCCTAGGTGTTTAGTTGTTAAAGCCTTTCCCCCTAAACGGTTTAGGATAAGGCTTTTTGGAAGATTGCCTTCTCCCACACCGCACATCCACTGAGACTTTGCTTCATGTCGTGTTGCCACAACCCAGTTTGCCCCCATCTTACTGACATTTTTGGCACATGTTTTGTTTCCTCTTATCTTTGGTTTGGTTTCTCTCCCCTCCTTTTATGGCTTTATGATCTGGCTGCCAATGCTTAGTCCTTGCTTGTTTTTACACTATTATTGGCTGTTGCTTTTAATCAGCAGTAGACAACCTCTGGTCCATGGGCCTCATTAAGCCTGGCAGGGGTTCCAGTTTTGCCCATGAGACTGTTTTCCCCAAGCTAGGCCCAATGTCAAATATAATCTCAGGGTGAGGCAGATGAAGGCTCTGATTGGCAGCTCCTAAAAGCCCCTTGCAAGCACTGACAATCAGCTGATGAGTGGTGCCTGCAAAACGTTGTGCCTGGGCCAGAGCAAACCATCAGCTGGCTGGCAGTGCTTGCAGAGGCACAGGCCCACCTGATATCACCACGACATCACGTGAAGTGCTTTTCCTGTGTACGGGTGCTTGCAAAGCCCTGTTCCTCTGCCGATGCCGTTTGATTTCAAACTGTGTGGGCAAATGAAAATGCTTCCCACAGCTGATGGCTGGATCCAGCTCCCTGACCTTGCTTTTAATTGATGTTCCATGGACTATCTTGGGAAATGCTAGTGGGGCAGAAAAGTAGTGTGCAGATATTTCAATGGATAAAAATAAACAGGTGGAAAATAGAGGGGAGAATGGTATGGAGGCCGTGGATGAAGATGGAACATAGCTTACCCACTACACTTGATGCTAAGCAACAGGATTTAAGAGGCCTGCCATTCCCCCTACCCATCTCAGCAACCTAACTGGGAAGGATTTGCTTTCTCATTCTTAGGCAGTCAGGGATCCATGGTTGAGAAACAAGAGTCCATTTGGTCAGCACTGCTGCCTCCCTTGCTGCACCTGTTGCTGTGGACCGACAGGTTGTTCTCACAGAGCTTCCTGCCTCTTCCCTCAGGACAGAAACACAACTCACAATTCTGTAGCCCGAAGGATGCTCCAGCACAAAGTTCTGCACTCTCCTCTGCCTCTTCTGGTACAGCCTGGAGCCCTTGTTGATTGGCAGGGAGAGCTCCTCCATCATCAGATCCTGAGGGATGCTCACCTTCTTTCCTAAATCGAGCTCCACCAGAGCTGAGAAAAACAGGCGTATGTCACATGGAGGCAGCGGAAATGAAAGGCTTTAATTTACAAAACGCTGGTTGTAAATTAATTAAAGGTGCCCTAATGTGAGGCAGGGAAGTGAGGCAGCTCATGCTGGAGGGGAGAGGGGGAAGGAGGTGTTGGAGGGCAAATCTGCATCTGCCCCATGTCCTGCCCGCTCTCCTCACCTGCCCCCAACAGCTTGCTCCCCTCAGGCGTGATGGAGAGCACTGTCCTATTGCCAGTATTGAAGTCTGGTCAGCTTCAGTCTATGGAATGGGGGCACCATTTTGTCCTTCACCTCAGAAAGGTTGTTTACTGAGCTATGAGAAGAGCCATCTAAGCCCCACTTAGGCGAGGCTATGGGGGAGCAGGAGTTGGACGGAGTGGAGGCATCTCCAGATGAGCTAGCCTCCCACTGCCAGTGGAAGGACACAAGCACTAAACCCCCCCTCCTGGCAACTGGACATGCTGACAGGAAGGAAGCCTCTTGGTGGTATCCCTATTGACAAAAAAGCACTTAAACTGTTTGTTCTTTGGGTGGGTGAGAAGTATGAACCGGCCTGGGATCTGCTGGAGCCTTAGCCAGTCTCATTGCCCTTTGCATGACATTGGGCCTAACCTGGAAACAATCACGGAGCCAGCCTGGAGCTGACGGAGGGATCCAGCCCTATTGTCCTGTTCCTGCTGCTACATCCACCATGAGCTGCTGGCTATGAACGCAGTGGTGGATCCACCTCTCCTTAAAACCCCACTGGCAGGGGGCAGAGAGAAGTCTGCTTGGGACCGCAGCCTTTGCCTTTGTGAGCTAGAGGCTGTAAACGAAAAGCCCAGTGAAAACAAGCTAATGCACGAATCCTGTGAAGGTCAGCAACCTCTGAAGATGATGGCAGTGGAGGATGGCTTACCTTCTCCATCTGTGAGCTCCCCCATAATGGTCTGGACCCGTGTCCTCGGCTCTCTGCTGTGATCTGAATGCATGAGGGGAAACATTTTCTCGACTACAAAGGAAAGCAAGAGCTTATCAGTCTCCACACAAGCTTCATTAACATTTAGAGGGGGATCTGAAATTTTGGGGACACACATTAATGAAGCTCTTCACACATATCTCTTGTGTGTGTTGTTTCTACATAGTATTGCCTAACAACTGGCCCTACTTGGGGTGTTTGTCTTTGCAAATTTGCTCTTTCCTCTGAATGTGAAAATGCTGGAAATGTTGCCACTGTCCTGGGCATGAGGCCAAATATATTTGTGCGATAATAACAAATGTGCAAGTGGATGAGACTAAAACTGGCTTTCTAGGTTACAGAATTGAGCAGCGAGTCATTTGGAGGACGAAACGTTTTAAGACCTTTCTGCCATTCAAAGCTGTTGTGACAGTGGAATGGGCTGCCTTGGAACGTGGTGGAAGTTTTAAAATAGAGCTTGGATGGTCATCTGTCAAAGATGCTTTAGCTGTGATTCCTGCATTGGAGAGGGTTAGACTTGATGACCCTTGGGGGTCCCTTCCAATTCTACGATTTTATGATTCTATTATATTTCACCCATTTTTAGAAACAGCCCATTCATTCGGCTTGCTCTCTCCATACTTTGAATTTTAATCCAGCTATGAAGCCCTAGAAACAACTGAACTTTGCTCTTGGAGGTGGGGACCTAGTTGTCTGCAGGGGACTTGTCCCCATTCCTTTCTCTGGTATCCAATGAAGAAGGGCCATGGCTCAGTCTTAGAGCATCTGCTTTGCATGCAGAAGGTCCCAGGTTCAATCCCTGGCATTTCCAGGTAGGGCTGGCAATGTCCCCTGTCTGAAATCCAGTCAGTGTGGACATACTGAGCTAGATGGATCAATGACCTGAGTCAGGAGCATAGGAACCTGCCTTCTGCTATCTCTTTTGTGACCCAAACAGATCTTAATAAAATATTATTTTTTTCAAAAAGGGCCAGTAGCACCTTATAGACAAAGTTTGTTCTGGGTATAAGCATGCACACAAAAGTTTATACCAGAACAAACTTAGTCGGTCTATAAGGGGCTACTGGACAATTTTTTATTTATTTTTATTTCCCCCCCGACCGCGTCAGACCAACATGGCTACCTACTTGAATCTCCAAACAGATCTTGTCACTCTAACAGTTTGGGTACAGGTTGGGGTACGTTTGTAACAAAGGAGCCAGTGTGGTGTAGTGGTTAAGAGCGGTAGTCTCATAATCTGGGGAACCGGGTTCGCGTCTCCGCTCCTCCACATGCAGCTGCTGGGTGACCTTGGGCTAGTCACACTTCTCTGAAGTCTCTCAGCCCCACTCACCTCACAGAGTGTTTGTTGTGGGGGAGGAAGGGAAAGGAGAATGTTAGCCGCTTTGAGACTCCTGAAGGGGAGTGAAAGGCGGGATATCAAATCCAAATCCAATGTGACTGATAAAATAAACTCGGTATACAAGGTCCTCTTCTGAAACCTCTCGGTTCCAGAACCAAACTGCAATTAATGGTTATATTCATTTGGTCTGTATCGTTATGCAGAATTATTCTCACTTAGACAAGAAAAGGAGTCTTGTTTTTAATGCCCTTGGGTTGTAAACAAATGACCTTGGGGATATTTTTTTTAAAAAAGAAAAAGCTTGAGCTCCAGCTGTTTGAATGGAGCACATTACAGTGAGCAAAGTTCAGCTTCTCTGAACTACATAGTTCATGTAGGGCTGTGTGTTCCTCCTCCGTGCCACTAGAGAGACTTCCCTATATCAGCAGCAACTATTTTAAGTTACTGACCTGGGAGGATTGGGAGATGTAACCCTGATCCTTGGTCCGTGAAGGATGGAAGCAGGCAGGCAGGCATGGATTTCTGACATGATGATCTCATGGGAGTTGGAGGTGGACAAAAGTACTTAGCCCTGAGATTTCAAAGGGCCTAATATTGCTAGGGGTTAAGCCGCGCATGTACACAACCACCAGGTCTCCAACATCATGAGCAACCTTGGTTTTATGGGCAATGGGGTGGCAACCCTAAGCCCATTTAGCTGGGCATAAGCCCCATAAAATTCAATACAACTTACTATTGGCAAGGTTAGGACTGTGTTGTTTAAGGCATCGTCCATTATACACCCACTTCACTTGGCATCATTGTGCAAGCATGCCACTGGCATAAACGGATATGCTCTGGAGGGTGGGGGGTGGCATTCCTGTCATTGCGGCATGGCTGAAAAAAATTGCTTATAGATTATCTCCAAACCTGGCCTCTCGGATACTGAGTTTGTGCCATGTGTATTCACTAGGCAATGAGTCAGAATTCAGGATGGAAATGCAATTGCCATCATTGTGGGTTGCAGAATCATGCTCTCACTTCCTTGTTACTGCTTCCTGAAATCCTTTCACCATTAGCTCTCTTATCCTTCAATCCATTTAGCAGGTCTGAAATGTTAACATGCCTCACACATCTACCATGTATTTTTTTAAATATCTCCATCTGTCTATTTTCTATGCACTTGGTCACCTCTTACAGTACAGTGGTACCTCGGGTTACAGGCGCTTCAGGTTACAGACTCCGCTAACCCAGAAATAGTACCTCGGGTTAAGAACTTTGCTTCAGGATGAGAACAAAAATTGCGTTGTGCGGCGGCAGTGGGAGGCCCCATTAGTGGTGCTTCAGGTTAATAACAGTTTCAGGTTAAGAACGGACCTCCAGAACGAATTAAGTTCTTAACCCAGGGTACCACTGTATTATAACCATACTTCACCTGATGGAGGCTGAGATCAAGGAGCAGGTTTTTTTGTCTACATATGGACATAATTGGATGCCATTTTGATCAAGATGGTGGAATTAGCCTTTCAAAACTGCACAGGTTTTTTTTTATTTCTTAGAATTCTCAAGCAGCACCAGGTATGAGGCAACTAGTTTGATATAAGCAACCTGGACTTTGGGAAGTTGGCAGGATATAAATGTAAGAAAACACACACATATTCCTTCCTTTTCCACTGTCCTTCTCCATTTATCTCCTCCTACTCTTTACCTTTCATGAGCCTTGGAGTCAACCCAAATAGAAGAGTTGCTTAATTAATCAAGCAACAATTGCAATCCTGAACATGTCTGTTCACATAACAAAGTCCTACTGAATGCTACAGGGCCAGCTCCCTGGTAAGCAACCATAGGATTGCAGCCCACAGTGCCAGCAAGGTGTTCAGACTAATTTTGCATTGACCTGCCATCCAGCTATCACTTAGACACATTGGCCAGTTCTTCAATCTTGAACGTGGCCTGCATCAAAAAACGTGATGTGGAATCCATAAACGATGATAGCCAGAAATTGAACTTTGTGGTCACATCCTCCCTTATCTGAGAAATGCGTAGACAATGTTGGCTGGGTGAGAGAATTTACTTCCCCCTTGCTAGTTCCAAGCTTTGGCATATATAACATCCCTCTTTCTTGTCCTGTTTCAGGCCAAGCCTCTGGCTGCAGGCTGGAGCAAGTCACATTATGCCCCGTAATTCAAGAACCAGAATTGTTTGCCAAATTTAAATGGCTTTACCTCACAATAGGAAGCCTTTTAACCATCCTATGTTACTTACTGCCACAGGACAGTCCAAAGAGAGAGACACTGTGACATCTGCAGAGCACATTAGAAACTGGAAAGCTAATTATCACTTAGCCGACGGAGCTAATGTTACAGAGGCAAGGGCTATGTATTGCATGGCCTGACGAGATTGCCAGCTTGGACTGAGAGCACATTTCCCTGCTTTTCCTCTGTGGGGGCATTCAGCATTCTTCCATTGCAATTTTGTGTTGGACAAGGTCTCCTAGAGCAAGTCCCGATCATAGTCTTATGATTTCCTGTGCCAGAAGCCATTTTCCTTTATGGACTGAGCAAACACCCATATTCTGGGGCTAAGTGCTAATATTTGCCCTATGGACATTCAGCTGGGCTGCCTAGCCATTGCAAAGAGTGTTTCCTATATGGATACACTGAACAGCCACCACGTCTCCCTTTCCCCTTCTTCTGCCCTCCTGTCTAAGTGACCTTGCAGTAATGATGCCTCATCTAGCATGCTCCCTAGCATGGGTTATCTGCTACCCACTTTGTGTCCTTGGGGAACCAGCTTTCACACTGATGGTGCCCCAGTTGTATCAGAGAAACATCACATGGCACTAGAAAACAGGTATAACGCCCTTTCATGCAGTAGGGATGGATTTGCCATCATGTACATGCTGCTTTCCCACATCAACAGCTGCTGGAATATCTCTTGCTTATTAAAGCCCCAAATCTGTATTTTAGAAGGGGGAAGGGGAATGTCCCAAGTTTCAACTCTACAAGGATCTTTCTGTGCAAGATACACCTGTTGCATAGTCCGATCCTCAATAATATACATATTATGCAAGCCACTAGAAGACATTGTCCAGATTACCAACATTTTTCCTCTGACGTTTCCTCACAGCAGCCTCTCCCTTCTATCCAACTACCCCTTGAGTCCAGAGAAGAGATTCCCCCATACCTGCTTGAGCCCTTCCTCAGACCGTAAAGCCCTGTGGTGAAGTCCTGAGATGGCAGACACTTCCCAGGTGAGGATTAGAGCCCAGTTTGAGTTTCCTCGTCCCCTTTTCTCGCCCAAGAGCGTTCCAGCTGTCCCAGGTCTTGCCCCCTTGTGTCTTTTTCGATCTCCTGCTGCCGAGATGCCAAGACCCTAATCCTCGTTACATCAGACATTTATTTCTGGCTGAGAAAAGGGGCGTGGTCTGAGGAGAGTCTTGGCGAGCTGAGCTGGTGGCAAGTGTTGAAAGCTAGGAGTTGTTTCTTTCTGTTTTCCAATGTATTTCTTATCAATTAAAAAAAAATTGGTGTGGCGTGAGCAAGTTTTTATTCTGAAAGTGTAGCACAGAGATAAAAGTTTGAGAACCGCTGATTAAAATATTCCCCCTGCCCTTGCTATTTAGGATGACTTGTAACATAATGAGCTGTAAGTTGAAAAATACAATAGTAGAACAACTTAGGGCCTAGCTCATAACCATGCATCCTATATTCGTTTAGTGGTTCTCAGCCTCTCTCCCCACTCCCAGGTGAACCAAATGAAAATTGCTGGTATTCTTGTAAATAAATCGAGTGCAGGGTCAGTACAGATGATCTCAACTGTAAAGGTAAAGGACCCCTGGACAGTTAAATCCAGTCAAAGGCGACTATGGGGTTGCGGTGCCCATCTCACTTCAGGCCGAGGGAGCAGGTGTTTGTCCGCAGATAGCTTTCCAGGTCATGTGGCCAGCATGACTAAACTGCTTCTAGTGCAATAGAACACTGTGTCGGAAACCAGAGCACACAGAAACGCTGTTTACCTTCCCGCCGCAGCGGTACCTATTTATCTACTTGCACTGGTGTGCTTACAAACTGCTAGGTTAACAGGAGCTGGGACAGAGCAATAGGAACTCATCCCATCACACAGATTTGAACCACTGACCTTCCGATTGGCAAGCCCAAGAGGCTCAGTGGTTTAGACCAGTGTTCCCCAACCTTGGGTCTCCAGCTGTTTTTGGACTACAATTCCCATCATCCTTGACCACTGGTCTTGCTAGCGAGGGATGATGGGAGTTGTAGTCCAAAAACAGCTGGAGACCCAAGGTTGGGGAACACTGGTTTAGACTACAGTGCCACCTGTGACCCTCTCAAGTGTACAGCACCTTGTCCACCTGAATGGAGCTAGCAGACCACCAGTGCTCTACAGAAATTCTGCACGCATATAACAGTGCTCCAGAACTCTTAAAAAGAAAAACGCAAAGGATTCCTGAAGGAGGAATTTAGACCAGATTGTATCCCCAAGCTGTTTCCATCCTGTAAGGCTCTGGGTGTGTTTTTACTTATTAAAAAAATGACTTTGGGACACAGTTACATGCATTAGCATGTGGTATTAGGCCTATAATCATAATCAAGGTGGGATTTATTTGTAAAATTATTGATAGGCTGCCTTTTTCTGCAAAGCCCATCTGTGGGTTGCTTACCTCATGTAAAAAAAACCGACAAGAATCCAAAAACTATTTCAATAGCAGTGGTGCAAGAAATTTAACACAGGCCGTTTAGAATAAATAAAGCAGCAAAGGAGGAAAGGAGAGAGTGTCTCTCTCTCTGCTCTGCGTCCCAAGATAATCGGCCAGGTTTTTCAGACAACCACTTGGCACACCCTTTGCAAATGATTTGAGTTTGTTGAGTGCACAATAGACCCATTGAACATTCTACTATCAAGCACAATTTAATACATGTTCCAGAAAGAAGTCTACTTCTCTCCTGAACATGCGTATTAAATTGTATTTAATATCAGAGCACTCAGTGGGGCTATTGTGTTATAAATGAGATGGCAAACAAATATTACATAGGGTGTGCCAAATGCTTGTCCAGCTTGACACCCCACCCCATGGGGTGAGAAAAATGCAAAATACAGGGCATCTCCCTGGATATCAAGAAGGGAAAGTTGGTGTGAACTTTCAGGACAACAGCCTATGTTCAAATGTAAAAGTCCTGCTGGAGTCCCTTGTTTCCAAGTGGCCCAGCAAATATGTAATAAATAAATAAAAATGCAGTACAACATTTCCCTTGAGCACTGTGATATTGGAGTGGAGGCTGGTGGACAGCATTTTATACCTCATGTTCAAACCCAACTTTAACCACTGAAACCATTTTGAAGAGGGAAGGATATAAGCAAAACCCGCGTTCTGCTTTACTGTGGTTGCCATCTTGTGGTCATTCTTCACCACTGCATTCTCAGAATCAGGAAAGACGCTTCCAATTGCATCTTTTAATTGGTATACAGTACTTAAACGTTAAATGGTTTTCCCACACAGCTTAGTCTGAAATGAGAAGGCTTCCACTCCTTAAATGTCATCCCCTGCCCCTCCATTACTGAATTACTAGGAGAGGAAGCAGAAGATGCAATATCACAGCCCCCCCAGTCATTGTTTTAAAGGGCTCAGATTATGGGTTTGGGGATTTCACCGTTCCATCGCCACCACACACACACAATAATTTTCACACTGTAATCATGACTCAGGACTGTGATGGGGTGTGCAAGGTGGAAATTGTTTCATTTATCTATTCATTTTCATCTTAAAGCCGCAATTTCTTTCATTATCACTTAGTTGAAATCCATCCACTTTGGTTTTCAGTCTCTTTCCTTTTAAATCTTTCATTCATTTCATTTTTCTTTGCATTGCACTTGCCTCATTTTTCATTCATTATTGGCTCATTCATTTTCAGCTTTCATACATATACACCAAATCACATAGCTATATTCTGAAAGCAACTTCAATGTTTTCTATCTAATGATATGGAGCTTTCAGGTGTTCTGATATTCACTCAAGGCATCATACCCTTCAAACTTGTGTCTATCTTGCATTTTATTCTGTGAGCCACCCTGAGATCTTATGATGAGGGGTAGGATATATAAATTTAATTAATAATAAGAACAACTTCATACAGATTGATAAAAAGGGCTCCCCACTGAAGAGTCCATTGATCTTTCCATTGTTTTGGGAGGTAGACCCAGCCGTATTTCTCCTGCTTTTAATGTCTGTGCTTTACAGCATATTTGCATGACATTTTCAAGTATTCTACTACTCCTCTAAAGCATCAGACCTCTCAGGTTCCAGGTAGATAGGTCAATGAATCCTCATTTCATAGACAGGAAGACAGGGTGTCATTGGCTAAGGAGCCAGATTAGGTTCTTGGCTTGGAACATGTTGCACCTGAGGCTGGCAGGCAGGCAGGCAGGAGTCCACCGAACCTGGTTTCGCAGTATCAGGGCTGCAGAGCTGGAGCCAAGACCTTCATAGGCACCTTCCCCTAGGCCTGAAGAAGTGTGCCTCCTTTAGTACCTCACCAGTCATGAAGCACAGGGAGCATGCCAGGCAGGAGGTCATGGAATGCAGGAAAGGAGCCTGTCAGAGGGCCGGCCCTTTAAGAGATTTTTCTGCAAAGGGGGCGGGGCCTATGAGAGGCAAACAGGGGAGGCTGAGGCACAAAGGGCTTCAGTTCACTCCACAATTTCAGCAAACCCTTTGACCATCAATCTCTCTCTCTCCTTTGCAGGATGAAATTAGGCTTTGCTTGTTAGAGGGCAAAACAACAACAACAGGCAGAGCAGTTTGTGTTCAATGCAGTGACAAGCCGAATGTTATGTCAACACACAGATTTCTCCTTGTGCAGCAGAAGGTTCTCTCCCTATGTGAGCTCACATTCTGTTCTTGGGGTTCCCCCATCACCCTGGAACGGATTTTGGGGTGAAATGTGCATGAGGCAGGGAGGAGGGTGCAAATCATGTCCTGTTAGTGCTAATCCTCACACCAGTGCAAGAATTTAAACCGCCCAGTCTTCATATCCTACTGAGAATGAAGTGTAGCAATTCAAGGATGTGTTTCTCAGCCTCAGAATTCAAACTCTGGTTTTAACCTGAACAGAGACTGCCTCTTCTCCCCCCCCCCCCCCGTGTCTCAGTGGATGTTTTGATGCCTGTTGTTGGCGATACGATCTCTGCATCAGGTTTGGAAGCAAGGGCACAAAGAGAAGTGGTTTTTTGGTGACTGCTTCTTTCCTCTCAGCTGACTTGCCAAAGTTTGAGCCTGAAGGCCTTTCGGAAAGGTTACTGCAAAGGTTACTGTGTGCACCAGGGCTTTAAATCAGAAAAGGGTGCGGCAGTTTCAATGATATTTTAACACAAGGCTTATTTTGCCTTGCTAGGGGAAGCCAGAGCGATTGCTTTTGTTACCTTTGGGATGCAAAGGACCATGAAGCTAAATAAACACATTGGATTAAGACGAAACACAAACACTCTTACTTCAACAGAGTCTCTCCCCCACCCCTGCCCCAGTGACTGACCTCAGCAAGCTATGTTCCTACAGTTTCGCAGCACTATTATTTTTATTTCCAGCAGCCATTTTTGTTGTCAAGTGATTGCCACCAGAGGCATTAAGATCATTCCCCTAGGGCAGCATACAGCTAAACAGATACAGTGTGCTTTGAGCAATGACTTTTAGCTGTGCAGTGTAACTGCTCTGCCCTCTCCTTTCCCTGCGCACAACCTAAATCTGCTCTGGAGGATTGTGGGGAAAGCTGGAGCATATTTTGGGAGGGCATGGGGGAGGAGAAGGGGACTTCAGTGGAACTTCATTTGGATACTGCCCCTTCCCAGTAAAAGAAGATTATTTCTGAGAGTCTGAGGCCCTTCTTCATGTGCCTCCTCCTTGAGAAGTTCGGAGGGTGGCAACATGAGAATGGGCCTTTTCTGCAGTGGCTCCCTGTCTATGGAATGCTCTCCCCAGGGAAGTTCGCCTGGTGCCTTCATTATACACCTTTAGGTGTCAGGCAAAAACGTTTCTTTTTAACCAGGCCTTTGGTTGATCTGATTTACATCCTATGCCCTTTTAAAATGTGTGGGGTTTTTTTTGGGGGGGGTACAGTGGTACCTCGGGTTAAGTACTTAATTCGTTCTGGAGGTCTGTTCTTAACCTGAAACTGTTCTTAACCTGAAGCACCACTTTAGCTAATGGGGCCTCCTGCTGCTGCCACGCCGCCAGAGTCCGATTTCTGTTCTCATCCTGAAGCAAAGTTCTTAACCTGAAGCACTATTTCTGGGTTAGCGGAGTCTGTAACCTGAAGCGTATGTAACTTGAAGTGTATTGGGTTGTTGTTTTTATTTTTATTATGTATTTTGTGGT